AACGCAAAGTTCCAGTAAGAGCGCACACAAACTTGTCCCCAGGTCGGGCGGCGCAGGCCTTCCCAGCGTCGCATTGCTTTCGCATTCCATTGGTGCAAAATGATGTGCCAGGGCATGTCCCATTGAATGTCAGCCGGAGGCCCCACAATTCGCCGTAGCAGCCTCCTGAACTCAACATCAAACTGGCGAATATCAGCGTGAAAGATGGCCCAGTGACCAGCTGCGAAACAGGCTACAGGAGTAACCACGGCATCGAAAAATTCAAGCCGCTGTTTCAAACAAACATTGCGATCAAGGAGAATTTGTTTTTGCAGAAAACCCTCTGGAAGCAGCCTGCAAATGAAAGTCGACATCCGCAGAAGATGCTCTTGAACTTTTGCTGGACAACAAACAACCCAACCACTTGTGTGACGCATCGGGCGTCCAGAATCATGGAACATTTGCTGGTGATGTGAGCTGTGTACCATCCGGCGAATGAATCAAACGTGCGTTGGACGGGTTGCCTTCTGGAAAACCTGGAAATTGCGGCCGCAGCCGGCCTCGGATTTACCCCGAGCTCAGCAAGGCGCTCGTTGCTGGAGCTGCCTGTGGCGACCTTGGGAAAACCCGCAGAGTTCTCTAGTGCACTGAATGACATCCCCACCTCAGTGGTTGTCGCATATTTCCCACTTGCGAGGAAAGGGAATGGGGGGCGCTTTCAAGGGAAATCAGCCTGGGCTCGTTTCCCACAACACATGTGCAAGCGGCGTTGGGCTTATTTTTCCACACCCCCACACTCACAGCGGAGTGGGAAAATTAGGAATGACCCCCACCCCCTGGGCGCCGGGCCATGGATCATCAGAAGGGGGGGTGGGGTGTTGCAGCAAGACGACGGCGCGATCGCGCCCTTCCGGGGTGACCCCTTCCCGCCACAAATATAGGTAACGAAAAGCGTTGAAAGTCAGATCATGAGACGACTATAAGTCACGGTTGGAACTGAAAAATCGAGCATGACGCGTATTTGCAAAAATAAACCATGGCTGGGCTGGCGGGAAATTGGAAACCTGGGCCCCGGGTGTTCGCACAAAAGCCTCCAACTGAATGGCCCAAGACATTCGGTGTTTCCTAGTCAGGGGCGAGGCCGGGCGCGCGGTCGGATCCCGCGCGTGCACTGCCGTCACATCGGATTGGGCTAACAATCGTCGCATCAACCGGGATTTGGGTGCCCTGCCAAACACGGAGACCGTTGGCGACGACCTCGATCCGGCTCCTGCGCCCTGGCACATCGAGATTCGATCCCGTAAAGCCACATCATTTGTTGCCATCCGCGCCCGTGCCTCTTTACAAATGCGAACTGCTGCTCGCTCCAACGGGCCTGCCCGTCGGACCAGCACGCCGGCCTGGGCACAGGCGGGGCGGTGGTCCCCAAGATCGTCCAGAAGGCCACCGCAAGCGCGGGCCAGCTGCGGCGGGAGCTGCAGCTTGCGGAGCAAGAGAACCCTCGGTATTCCGCATGAAGCACCGCCGTGTTCCGGGCTGGAGGGGATAGCTGTGAAGGCGCAACCCGCAGCATCTCCACCTTGCGACAGCAGCAGCGCCCGAGATGTAGGGCCAACGTCTGCGAAAAGGGTTCCGAGATGTCGCGCACGTGCACGCATGGCCGCGGTTCATCCCTCTCCAGGAGCGTCGCCCAGGGAGGCGCATCGAATCCTGGGGTACGCAAGTGCTGCCCATGCAGGACACCCTGAACCACTGGCGGCCAGAACCATACTGTGTCTGAAGATGGGTTTCACGGCGGCTGCGCTGTGTTGGCCTCTGCAACGCGACGCAGACACGTGACGGAACGGGACCCGCGCCACTCAGCGTTGCCCACCCCGCACACACGGCAGTCAGGGTCTCAGCCCCGAAGCGACCACCAGTGTGGATGGCCACGACGACGAAACGGTAAGCGATGGGAAGTGTCCCATGCCTGAGCCGTGAACCGCGCAGCCGGCGGCCCATCACAGCTGGACGTGCACGCGGGGATGCACGTGGCTGCCTGGCCCAAGTCACAGGACAAACAGTGGTGTCATTCGGGGTATATTAATCGGCAACGACCTCGATCCGTCGCGCGTCCGCGAGCGGCACATCGATTCGCATTGCCGACCTGAACGTTTCTCGACACACCTTGGTGATGGCCCGCTCGAGGGGCAGCGCTCAAGGGTCAAGGGGCCAGCATGCCAGCAAAGCCTCCGAACCGGCCGCAACTCCACAAAAAGCCGCCAATTCATGCCCCATCTGTGCGGCGTTGCCCAGCTTCGCACGCGAGGAAACTGTGCCGTATGGGTGGTCGCACCCACCGACGGGCGCTCCCCAATTCCAGAATTCTAGTGGCAGTAGCGGGGCCCACACCTGCATGGACAGCGGGGAAAATGTTGCAACCAAAAAGCCTGTGTTCCACGCTCCGGGGACCCAGCCCGCCACGCCGCAAAGCACGCTACTCGGAAGCTGTGCGCCAGAAAAGGCGTATTGCGTACACGACCCTCCATGAGGAAGCGGTGAAGTTGCGTCAGCCTGCTCGCTGCTGACCACGCCTCGCCTGCAGGCCGGTGCGAGGATTGATGGACGTTGTCCAGAATTCGCTCATGACAGAATGACCCCTTCGCGGAAATCCAAAATTCCTTTCGCGAACACCATCACGAGCTTTCGCGGAAGCAGGTTCTAAGCAGAACCCAAGCCTTGAACTCTCAATGACCCATGCCTCAACTCCGAAACCGAAGCTACAAGACCACAAGACATACTGGGAAGTTGAGATATGGTGGATGAACTTCGCAAAATAGAAAAGCTGCAGAAGCATAGCAGGGCTACCCTAAAACTAGCGGGAGTAAAGACGGAAGCGCCCAAACCATGGCTTGCAAGGCTAGAGGTTTGCTCGGCTTACGCGACCTTTCGCGGATAATCGGGTAAGAATTCAATGACTGAGCGCGTGCTTCAGAAAGACTTGCAACCATTTCACTTTTGAGAATGCGCGTTCACTGCGAGGCTGCCCCAAAAGTTCACAGACATGGATTGTTTAGGCGCCAGGGAATACGTGCAATACCAAGCGGATTTCATAAAAAGCTTCGCGCAAATCAGCTGGGTGACATTGGGAACCTCCCAGCGATCGGACTGCAACAAGGAAATGCATTTGACCGTATGTAAGGAACTATAGTTTGCGATACTTCGGTTGCGAAATAAAAAGTTCCTTTCTCGAACACCATCGCGACCTTTCGCGGAAGGACTTCTAAGCCAGCCGTGGTCGTTTTATGTCAAAACTTCACAAAGAGTTTTCGGACGATGAGCTTATGCTAAGCGGCTGGCAAGGGGCGGCGCTTCTGCGGAATCATCAGGTTGCACCACCGAGCTCACACAAGTGTGTAATGGCCGACAAGGAGTGCTCAGGGATGTTGGGCACTTCCGCGCAATGGCTAGCCGAGGCCTGGCGCTGCCCGCTGCTTTTCAAGTAGCACGGCTATGCGCCGTCCACCCGCATCTTCCGGTATAAAATTCTCAGTGATCCTCAGGCTCACCGCTTCACATGCACGGAGACAGCCATCAACAGCGAAGCGAAAATCAAGAACTGATGTCCGTCCGCCCCAATCACGCTGTCGATGCCACCTCCTGCCGCAAGCGGACAACCACGTCCCCCTTGCTGGCTCACGCCCACGCGGCTGCCTCATGGTTGTCGGTGTCAAGGTTAGTGGCCGCTTTGGAGCCGACGACGGTGCGAAAGCTGCACTCGCGAGCGGTTGGCCGTCGTGGCACAATAAGCCTACACCACCTTCCTCGACTGCTGTGTCGTCACATGGCTAGTCAGCCTGCAGCGGATTCCTCACCAAAAGCCAGCCGCAGGGCAAGACTTAGCCCGGCCATGCCGTAACCCGCAAGAGAACCTTCCTGAATTTCCTGACCGCTGGACCCCGGTGCTGGCACAGAAAGGTGTGGGAAAAAAAGACAATGCGAATGCAGTTCTAATCCACTTTCAGCATTCTAGGTCCTTTAATCTAGGACTCTGAACAAACTGGCCCGATATGCATTGCAACGTTAGGACCTGGCAGCCTATTGCCGGAGTTATAAGCTGGTAAAAGCGGCAGTTCAGGACAAAGCGCCGGTACAAGCTGGAATCGGCATCCTGTAAATATTCAGGAAGGCCAAGTCCGATGGCCGGTGGCTCGGTTTTTATGTTTGTGCTTCCACTTGCCTGGAACACTGCTGAATACCGCTAAATGGCTTCCTTCTGCGGGGAATCAGCATCCCTGAGTCACCGATATGGAATTTTGAGGGGGCTGGTGCGCACTCTCCACCATCTCAATTTGGCCGCCATGTTTACACCCGCACCTTTCAAGTAGCTTGTCCCATTCCATGAAAGTGTGCCTGCAGCTGCTGCAGACTTGCGCACTTCAGTCATGAACTTGCAGATGCAAGCAACATAGCAATATCTTTTGGTCTTACAGCGGGTCTTTGGCTGCCACCTTCCTTGAGAGGTGGACGAAGTGCGCTCTGCACTTCACATGGAGGTCGCCTCAAGCTTTCGAGGACCTCTTTTGGACGGGGCCCGGGGGTCGCTCCCTAGGCTACCACCTGTCTCAGTCCGGCAAGTTCATGTCATCTGTGTCCTGCATGCCGCATTCCAACTCATCCAGCTCAGGACTAGCTCAGAACAAGCCGAAACTTCCCTGAGGTCCATCGTCTGCAATGCCTCCGTGAAGAGCTGACTCATCTTTTGTGAAACCAGGCTCAAGTCCTACTATGCGACACAGCATTTACACGCTGTTCATCTGTGACATTCTGTGACTGATGGGGATTCTGGGTAGAGCTGAGCCGGTCCCCAAGCTTTGCTCCCAACCGACCCCAGGCACGATCGAAGTCGTCAGGACTTACCTGCGATGAAACTTGTGCCTAGCCACTACCTTGAGAACATCTGGAAATCCCTGGCGCACGCCCAGGCTGACGAGGCCCTCCCGTAATCGGTCCTGCCATGCAGCAAGTATCTCTGCTGAATCCAATGACTAGGTGCGCTTTCAAAGGTTGTCAGCTGCGCCAGCTTTTTGCGAGGATCCACCGGCACTTCATCATCTAATCGCTTGGGAGCATTCTCAGCACGAAGGTCTGAGCCTTAGCAGGCTTAGTGACTGTTAATGGCAGATATGGTCCGGCAGACACGAAGAAGTCTACAGTCTAAGCCTCTAAGCACTGCGCCACCTAAGAATTTCTTCTCTTTGGAGACATCGGAGCAATGCCCTGCAACAACAAGAAATCTTCTGAAAAACAGTGCAGACAATGCTAGCGTAAGAGAAAACGGCATTGATGGCGATCATTACAACGACAAACAGCATCACCACTGTGGCCACCAGCAACAGCACCAGCAACGGCCGCTGAAGCGATACTTCTTTGGAAGAAATAACTGCAGCAGCCCAAGCACCAACCACAACAAGCACCAGGGCGACGAGAACAATCGTCGACAACAGGCACGATGACCACGACAACGATGATGACGACCCCCACCACTAGCATTTCCGGCACCACCACCACAACACAATCGCAGCCCCGCTGCAGTTGCTACAGCCAGCACTACCACACAAGTAGCACAACGAACGGTGATGACATACCATGAAATGACTTCAACGGCAGCAACGAGGATGAAAATAAAAGCTGAAAACGGCTGGCCAATGCTGGCCACATGGTTGTAAGAGTCAGCCTTGCTGGCATCCCGGGATCTTCATAAACTCCTCCCAGTCATATGCCTTGACAAACGGACCCCAGGCATCTCAATTTCAAAGCTATGAACTGGGTGTCCCCTGCCTTCTTGTCAGGGCAGCAGGCCCAGTATTTGGCCGTCTCATGGAATACCGGTGGCAGCCGGTGACACACACACCTCTCTACAGGATATTTTCTTAAGACGGGCTTGCAAGCTTCTTGAGCGTTCCACGCAGTTTGGTCTGCATGTCTCGGATCGAAATACCTCGGTGCAAACTCAGCGTTCAATGAAACAGAGCGCTCGTCGTTCTCAGGCACGGGCTTATTACATCCAAAATTCTTGCACCGCACGTGCTCTGGCGGACGCGGCACAACGCCACCTGAGTTTACAGGGAACGCTGCTTGAAATCCCGATGAAGCCTCAACTAAAGCAGCATGACTGCCCATTCTCGGCACGTGGCCAGAAGCCATGGGCAGGCACTAAACGCCCATCAAAGTTGACTCTGTGCCGCGGCAAAACAGGAAGCTCTGCTCATGAAGCTCTGCAAGGAATCGCAAAAATCCACTGAAGCCATCGGCCGGGGGTGTTCACCCCCTGACCTGACGCCCAAACGTCCCGTTTTGATGTCGGACCAGCCCACAAGCTCCGCACCTCCCCGCCATCTTTTCAATCCTCCTTCCGCCAGCTGGCCTGGGAAGTCCTTGCCGGGCCAGTCCCTGGCAGAGGCAGCCCCCGCACCGCGGTTAAAATGGCCTTCACTGAATGTTCTGTAGGTCTACGCTGCGCNNCCCCCCCCCCCCCCCGCTCTTTTCACATGTCAAGCCACAGCACGGATGTAAGCAGCAAATTACTCACACTGCATGTAGACATGGTCGTGATCATGAGATGCGGCCTTGGCTAAAGCTACAGTACTTCACGAGCATGCCAATGCAGCAGCCTCGTGCTTAGCTTGTGGAAGATCACCTAAGAACCCGCGGGTTCCTAAGTAGAAGGGAGCTGCTGTGTCCATTGACAAATCTCCATGCGCCCTCAGTAGAGGGGCTTGATGGGCGTTTCAGCCCAGTAGGGCTTCACACGCGCCTTCCAAGACACGACAACAAGGAAAGACATGCGAAGTCACAAAGCCGGGCCTGAACAGCTACCATGCCTTTGATGGCCTCTTCTCCTGAATACAAATACAAAGCTGACATGCCATGACATGTGACATGACTGTCGCGCATGGTAGGTCATAGGAGATATACCATCGACCACAGCAAACTGCAGACAGCCGTGGGTCCTATACGAATGTCCGCCAGCTCTCCACCAGTGTACTCCAGCCTGTGAAGCCAACCGCCACAAGCACTTTGCAAGGTTTTACTTTGACAGCTTTGACTTGGCGCCCGAGCAGTTTGCGTGTCAGCGGCTGCAAGCTGACGTTTTGAGCCAATCGCTTCGCACGGCCAGCGGCCGTGGGTGCGCACAGCCTCGCAGGAAGTCAGGTGACCCTCAGGATACGTAGGATGGAGCAGAACTACATGCAATGAGAGTTGTCACTCTCTATCCATGGCATTTTCATGGGCGCGTACTGCCAGATTGCCAGATCCACTTGGCTCCTGGCGTCACCTTCTCACAAATATCTTTCATGTAGTCGGAGAACTCGCTTTCCTCCTCAACCACCTCTTTGGCCACCCGTGGCTCTTGACATGTGTTGATTAGTGCTGCCAAGTACTTCGAACAGGTTGTCTATATGAGGTTGGGCGCTCCCTTTTTCCCTCGCAAGTGGACCTACCGATACAACCAGCGGGAAGTGTTCAAAAGCTCAGCATGCATCTGCAAGCGCGCACTTGCTTGCCGGAAGAGATCTGTCGTCGCTCTCCCTCGTAAGAAGACGCCCACACCATGAGCAATGAGGCCCCCACATCGGATATGAGACCCATCCTGATGAGACGAGCGTGCGCCACACCCAATCAGAGACTTCATGCTGCAACTGCCCAGATTAGCTCGAACTGTGTTCACTCTACATGTGCCGTTTAAGCTGTTGTTATTCGAATTGCTCAGTAGAGATGTGTGTATGCCAGGTGATTGAGCCGTCCAATGATTGAGTTCCACACCGCTTTGCTTGCTCAGCAGAAATATTTTCGGCCTCGGCATCGCAAAAAAGTTTGGCCGTGTCATGCCATGTCCACGAATTGCACATGTGGAAATGCCGGGCAACAGCTACTGGGCAGCTGGCCATGCAAAGCAATCGTTTGGCGAAAGCAGGCCCAACCTGATGAATAGCCCTTACCCCTCTGCTTCGAACAAAGGCTGCCTGCAGGTTCCAGAGCTCTGACCTTTCGGGTCAGGAAGGGCGCAAGGGAAGCCGGGCAAAAGCCCAACTTCACCTGCGGGCAAGCAAAGTGCATCCGCCGGCAGTCACAAGACACCAGCCTCTGAACAAATGAAGCGCGCAGTGCTCGTAGCCAGAACCATGTCACCTTTGCCGCATGGGCACCACTTGCTTGCATGTGCTCGCCTCCTGAATACCAGAGCAGGGGTGGTGGCGTGGGACGGTCACGCTCACAGATTTTTACATGCCGTACGGCTTCAGGCCCTGGCAGGCACAAAGCAGGCCGATGCCGCTGCCCATGGCAGAGCCCTCACAAGGGCAGTGTTTCTTCAGTGGGTGTTTTGTAAAGAAACGCACAAGGTGAGACTGGTGCCTGCGCCAGGCCTACAGTGAACTGCGGCAAGCTCTGGAACCAGAAAAGGAACTTCATGAAACCAATGGCGGCCTGTCACCACGCGAAAAACACAAAGAATCAAGGCCTGGCCATGAGTGATTCTGCCGCCTTCCGGTCGTCTCTCTCTGACATGGCCAAAGCATCGAAGAAGTGCTTTGGATCTCCACCTGCCTGAAAGAATCTTCGGAAAACTCGAGAACGTTCACATCTAGAACGCCTGAGAGGCTTGCGCAGAACATACCACCCTCGGCACGGAGAACAACAATTCGGATGTCGCGGCCTCCAAGAAAGCAGCAGCCGTCAATGGCAAGAGACGGCAAGAGGGCTTCACTGAGGCAGCAGGACTCTGTGCTGTTGAGCGACGGCCGTGGAGCTCGCAGGTTGCGTCCTGAAGCGCTTGCGAGGTGGACTCGTTCAGCGCATTGTTCGCTTCGGGCCTCCGAGAACACAGCGCAGAAACGCCACTTTTAATGCCAGAGCCGCCTGTTCAAGGTAATGTAGGCGATGCCCTCACCCAGCTCAAAGAGCACATCCTTGTGGTACCAACTCTCGGACCTTCAGCGCAGAGTGCGCACGCAGGGCTAGACTCAGACAGCTTTCACGAGGACGATGCGTGCATGTTGGCTTGATGTGCGGAACAGCAAATGTCTCCCAAGACTGCTTGTCCACAACCTTCGTGGTTGGCACATACCTCAGCGACAAGTGGTTTCTCATGCAATGTCTGAAAAATGCAGGCTTCCAGAGCGAATCTTCTCGCAGGCCTGTAGCCGCTAAGATGGCTCTCCTCGAGGACAGAGCCTTCCTGGGAAGGGTCTGCTGGGTAACACCGGCATACACATAACAAGCGGATAAGTCCGGGATAAGCGTTGGCGCCTGCTGTAGAAGCTCAGCTTCTTTTGCGGCTAAAGCCCGCTCAATGATCTCCCAGTCCTGCCATGCAAGACAGGTGCAAGAACAGTCCGTCTTATTGCTGTGTTGCCTTCTTCTCTGTCTTCACCATGGCCTGCGTTGGAAACGCCTCGATGAAGGCGTGGTCAGTTTGAGAGGAAAAGAACACCACTGAGCTTCAGGCGGCTTGGCGGATCTCAGCGGCTCAATGGCCTGTGACAAGACAAAGTGATGTCAACGCTTGTTTGCGGGATGAGCAAACCACATTCAAAGATGTTCTGACTCTCCTCTGGGATTCCTTCCCAAGAATGGCAGCGGGAGTTCTGCAGCTAGCTCTACAGAACATGGAATGACGCGGCGGTGCTGCAAACTTCAACGAAAGGCGGGCTCCAAGCACTTTCCCTACGGCATCTCTGTCAAGCAGATTCACAGAGCATTCCCAGCGAGATCAGCTGCTATCCGTTATCACATGTCTGCGTAAGGCCGTAGCATCTAAGGGGCGGGTCGAGGCACCCCAAATTGTCAGCTTGCCCTCCGACTTGAGCCGAACAGGGGATCCACAAAGTGGCTGAAGGACCTTCACCCATCATCAGCATCCAACAACCTGCTCCTCGCCCCGAGCTTGCAAAAAGCACTTTTCTATGCATTTCCAGGAATTTCGCGTTAGCTGAATGGCTTCAGGAATCAAGTATTCTCACTGAAGGCACATTCGAATTACCTGCTGCTGAGTCTGGACCCATGAAGTGCGCACCTCACCGCAAATCTGCCTTATGAATGCTTCAAATCAGACACGTGCAAACCCTGATGGCAGCATCCAGTGCGGGTCAGGTCCTATTACGACACATTGACCGCTGTGTCTGGCAGGAATTACAGTCGCCAACGTTCGTTCAGCGACAATCACTTGACGACAGCTTGTAGCGCATTAGCAAGTGCAAGGTGGCTCACCGTGCCATTTGACACATTTCATCTGCCTGGCCAGGCTTTGCAATCGCACACCTCAAGTGCAACTTCATGTGACCCACAAACCTTTATGATCCCTCAAGGCACGAGACGCAAACCTCTTTTCCGGCTTGCGCATTGTCAGGCCACACCCTAGGAGGTCAGTAGCTGACACTGCTCAGACAAATCATCAAGAACAGGCAAGGACACCTGGAGTCCAGAACTGCCACCCACTCACGCATCCCAATATCAAGGTGGAATCCAACCACTCAGCTCTGCACCCACTCGCATGGAAGCTTTTCCGTGCCAGGACTCAATGACGAAGCGCAGGAAACGTGCTTGCAATGGAGGGTCAAATCGCGTGCCAACCTGACGACAGGAAAATGCATGGCTGAGCTCTCATCTGCATGAAGCGCGTGTGCCTTTGAGGAGCAGTCATGACTGCCACGAAGCGCTTCTGGCCTTGCATACTGAAAGCAACCGTCCTATGAGCAGCCAGCTTTCTGCAGTGAGGTGAATTTTTGCGGGATCTTAGAGGCCGGCAGGCTTGAGTAGCTGTTGCCATCGGTGCTGTACTGGATCATGTAAGTTGTCACCCAACTGTCCAGGCACCTCCCACCGGCATTTAGCGCTTTTCCTAAGAGGCTCCCTGTGTGTTCATTAAACAGCTCTTCTTGCATGTTCCCATCCTGTGCTGCAGCGAACCACCCTGGACATAGGCGCCGCCCACTTGCACCTGCTCAAGAACAAACGCTCTCAACATGGAAGACATGGCAGTGACAAGTCCCTATAACAGCCTTCTTAAATTTGGTAACATCATCCAGAAGCCTCCTGACCCAGGTCGACAGTGAGGAACTCGCCAGCACGAGCCTTTTCAGGGGCTTCCTCTGCTTTTGCGCTTCAGCCAACCCTTCTCCTCCTGACTCTCAGTTCTTTTCATTTCAGAAGCCATGCGCTTACTGCTGAGTAGCAACTTGACTTGCGCTTTGACGATGGGATGGGCTAAAAATGATTGTTCAACATGTCGCCGCAGCATGCTCGAGGCCTTTGTGTGAATCTGAATTGTCATGAAGATTGGGGAACAAGCCTGGAAATATCAAATTATGGACTACTTCCAACCAATCTTGGTCGTCCTACACGTCTGCGTCGCACGTCGAAGGGTTGAGCTGTGTTGGGTAGGTAACTTGTCTGAGCGGGTCTGGACTACAAGCCCTGAGAATTCGCTTCCTCCTCCTACATAATACATAAATATATATATATATACATGAACACACGGGTACGCGAGTATGCCCCTGCTGCATTCGTATACCTTTCTATACTTAGGAGGCCCTCTAAGCCATCAAGCCAATCAATCTAGGCTTCTTTCAAAACAACAGGACTGCTTGTGAGCCAAGAACCTAAGACCTGTAAACCAATGAACCATTACTGTTACCCGATCAACCCATTAAAACATCGAGCCAATGGGTTTCCTCATGGAAAACCACTGAACCATTGAACCATCAACCCTTGCACCATCAATATCGATTAAGCCATTTAAGAACTGGCTTTCCCCATATGGCAAACCACTAGACCTTGGGTTAGGCCTCCACCCACTAATAGTGGTATACTAGGAATGTATAGAGGCCCTCATATAATTACCATTGTCTCTTGTGGTCATTAATAGTGGGTGGGGGCCAACATCATGAAGCCATTAAACCTTTAGACCATTAAACCAATGGTTTGAAGCCCAGGTAGGAGAAGGGTTGGTTTCATGCTCCTCTGGGCTTCCATATGGGATGCAGAACCATTGGCTTACAGGTTGAATGGTTAAATTCATTAATGGTTTCACGGCTGAATGGCATAGTGGTTTGCCAGATAAGGGGAGGGTCATTGGTTTATCGATTCAATGACTGGTTGGCTTAGCTTTTCTGTACGGTTTGAAGCCACTGGTTAGTGGGTTTGTAGTTTGATGGACAAGCGATTGCACAGGTCAACCCAAGTTTCAGAAACATTCGTGCCATTCGAAACCCCTCTAGGGTTTGATTGATAGTGTAAAAAAAGGAAACACTTTTGCATGTTCAAGATTATCTAGAGAGCTTCTTAGCGATTGTGAGTCATTAGAAAGAGCCAGGAGGGATTTAGGATTTTCTTGGTTATCTGGATTTCTGATATGTAAGAAACTGTCAATCACAAGAAAACCTAGGGGATCTCCTTCTTGCATTAGGGCTTTCCCCTGCTTCTACATTTTGATTGTTTCTATACGGCCTCGTGAAAGACGTGTACATACGTGACAGGTGACTTCCTAGGGCTGCTTCAAAATTACCCAAAACATGAAGTGAGTCATGAAAGAACCCTACAAATCTCACCACAATTCGTGTTTTTTATTGAACTTCTAATCAAAGAAGGTGGTTGTCGGAATATGAGTTCCCCCCTGCTAATTCATGTGTTTTGTCTTTCGTTTACTTAGTTGTTACTTATGCTGGGGGAACGTCATATTCTTCGGGGAATGGATTGATTACGCGTATGGGAATTGCGTGTTTGCTATTACTACAGCACGCCCCTAAACCCGAATACATAGATCTCAGCTCGGAATGGGAATCTCAGCTCTGGTGGCATCTTCCGTAGGTTTGGGGTTTATGGTTTAGGGGTTTTCAAGAGATTCTAGAGATCTCAGCTCTGAATATGAGTATGAGGAACAATAACACCAGGAGTACTTGGTACTTGGCTAAGTAACAATTGGGAAGGTTTGAACACATTAGTACAGTTTATCAGAATATAGGAAATCATGACAGTATTGTCGTCAAACATTTTGGAACTATGAACAAATGGGGATATTAGTAATCTGGAAAGTACTCCGAAGAATAGAAGCTGAAGGTACTGAGGCTAAATTTTAAAAGAAAGGTTGGAGAATGCCAAGAATTGAAGAAATATCAAGAAATATGAAAATTGGAGATGTTCGGAATCTTCATCGCCACGGCAAAACAGGAGTATCAAAAGGTAGTTCCTTTCTGTTAAAAAGAAAGAAATACAAACAAAAAAAAAAGTTTCGCGAATGTTCGAGGAATAGTCGGGGCATCAGAAATCTTCATCAACATCTGGAAACGTTGCGTTCTCCAACGTATGAGGATACGAAGACTCCGGCAAATATGAAACAATAGCGAAATCGTTCAGAATACTTAAAGTGTGACGCGATAAAATGTGAGAGGCGTATACCAGGAAATGTGAGAAATGTATTAGAGCTGGGAAAGACATTTGTTCAAAGCAAAGAGAATTCGCAGCACATTATGGTGCGGTACTCAGACATGTGAGAAACTTTGCCTCAGCAGAGATACATCAATCATAAACATATACTGGGTGTATTGCCATTACCGGGAATTCCGATGGTGCCTCTACATTTTCTTTGAGTATACACTCGGAAAACTGATGTTTGGGTTTATGCATTTATGAACCTTCTCCTACACTCCTACATAGCATGGGACGGCTGGCCTGTGCTGGAGCCCACGACGTGGCCGCATCCAGACCGGGGCCTAGCTCTGCCATTCCGAAGCTGCTGAAGGCAACCTCCCAATTGCTCGAAGTTGCTCACATTTTCTCACACGTGTTTTCACTTTGTGTTATACACTGCTATCACTATCTTCACATTCTTGCTATCAGGACCTTCCCATGGACGCACAAGCTGAGCCTGGGATCTTGTCGGAACAACCAGCGTCCCGGTACAGGCACCCTGCATTGCTTGCGCCTGCAAGAAGCATGGTGATCACGGGCACCTTTGCACCATGGGTAAGCTGAAAGGGACCTGATGGCGTTCACCACCACTTCTGGAAGGGCAGAACTGCAGGTTGCGCGTCTCCTCCTGCACTTGCACGTGGCTCATTACTTATATCGGCACAAGTATTCAAAGAGTGCCCCCAAACCCAGGCCTTCGCAGACATGGGCAGGCCCTCAAAACAAACTGTTATGAAGAGCCCCGCAAACGGAATCTAAGGTGAACAACTAAGGTCATGACATCGTACCATCGTTTGGCATACGCTGTAGTCACAGGAACGTAGTCAGTAAGGTTTTTGCAGATGGAATTGTGCGGAGACGTTTCCTTGGCACACCCAAGTTTGAGTCTAAATGTGTGCTTGGTCGACACTGAACATGCAGATACATGCAGCCATAGTCTCATTTAATGGATTGGGAGGAGAAATGTACTTGATACTGATCTCGTCAAGGTTGTGTACCAGGCCTCTTGCTGCGCGATAACTGATAACCAACTAGAAGGCGCTTGCAGCCAAACAGGCCTATACATCGGTCGATGGCCGCATTTTTGTGATCGCTCATCAATGCCTTTAAGAGGCACCTGTTTGGCCATCCAAGACAGCTGCACACAGCAAGGAACCTCTGAGATGTCTGAGAGTAGATCTCGATTCGCAGAACGGCCCGCCACTCTTGCTGCAAGGTGTGCTCCTGGCACGCTGGAACAGCTTAGAAGAATTGAATGCGGGTGAGTCAGTGAATGGGAGTCTCAGCGCACTCCTCTTCAGCAATGGTCAGATTCAGTGACATGAAGCCCGCAAGGGTTTGGTCGTAGCACCGGGAGTAGGCTGCGCAGCCTCGTCAGCACAACGCAACAACAGGAACTGTCACAGTCTGGCTTAATGCGGAGTGCGGTCGAGGCCGCTACCATTCTCCGCGCTGTTGACGAAACCACACGATGTGGTATCCAACTTAGCCTTTGCGGTTGGTGAACAGGCTCCAGCATCTAACACCCCGCTCTACGGGTTTGTCAAGCGACTTGTTGGGAGTTGCACTTCCTTCGCTGGGCCGAATGGATGGCAGAGAGATTTGAGCAATTCGAGGAGCTAGTCTGCACTTTGGCCTGCAGCGGGGCCAGCAACAAGCTGCAAAAAGAAAGAGCTGCGCCACTCAACAGCTTTCGGGCCTGCAGTGCGTTGCAAATGGTCATGTTGCCGTCCTTAGACTGAACTGGCTGCACAAAAAACAATGTTGACAATGTCAAGACGATATGAATCAACGGCTCTCACGTCTTCTTGCCATCCCGGATGCATACCACTTTAGGTATTGATCCTAGTCCAGGTGTCACCGTCCAGGGCAATGCTGCTACCACGATTTGTAACCCTGTAGACATTGTAGGCATGTTTGCTTACAACGCGTGCTCGGTCCCAGAAGGTATAGAGATTGTGGTAGTGGTCGGCGACGCTGCCGACACGGTTGTTGCAGAGTTCTCGACCTTGCTTTCCAAAAAAAGCTACTGTAGGCCGGCCCTCTTACTACATGCTTCACTCTTCGCCACACTTAACATCACTTCCCTCAGCTCGACCTTCTGTGGGATAGTCGATGACTGCATCGCAGTCAGCTCTGGCCTTAGGGCATCATCTTGGCTTCGCCTACTTTAAATAAACGCTGTATTCGCTTAAATTCTGAACTTTGAAAGAGTTGCCGTTGCATGAGATGCCTCGTAGTTCGAAAGCATCTGCTTGCACTCGGTGACTAAGTTGGCCTTGGTGCCCTCCTCTTGTCGACACTGCTGATGATCTTTCGCAAGGGCGGGCAGTTGCTCCTGGGTGATACATGCACTGCAAACGCTCGGGCAAGCAAATACGCATCCCAAAAACCAGAAGACCGAATCCACCAAGTTGGCCAAGCCACTTGAAGCACTTTGGCCTCGTCATACTTGAGATGGGATGCACACGCCCGTATTGTCGCTGAAGCGGTTTCTATGCTCTTCTGCTGCAAACCAAGCTGTGTTCGAATTGCAGCCTGTTCAGATTTTGCACAGAACCATCAGACAAACTTGTGAGGCTGGCCGGCTTGCCTTCATGCTGTCTTCCAGGATTTGGCCGATCATTGTAGCGGTCTGCACAGGCTGTTATGCATTAGGCAGAGTTCCATCATCTTCAACCTTTCCACCTCCCGCCTCAACCATGTTGCTGTCTGTGGTTGGCTGGCGACCCAAGCTTAGGAGCAGAGACTCCATCTTGCTAAGCGACTCGCTGGCCTCGACAGGATCAGACTTTTTTGACCCAATCCCCACTTGCTGTGATGCCGGCCGGACCTGGCTCGCATTCTGGCTGATGGTCAGCGAACTCGACAGAGCCAGAGCAGACAGGTTCGCGAAAACCGCCTGAGAACAGCCGCCACACAGAAAAGAATTACCCACAAGGCACACAAGCTACAACGATCTTGGACTCAGCAGGGCAGATGCAGGCCAAGCCGCGGCTGCGGACATCTGAGAAGTCTCGGTCTCCAATGCCAACCTGATCTTCTCATTTTGCCAAACAGCAAAAATTCATCAATTCAAGACTCGCCTGGCCTTTGTTTGGAAAGCGTCTTGGCGCTTTGGACACCTGCTCTTCCAACTTTAAAAGATGCGTACAACAACTTTTACGGCTTGCCTGGCACGTCGGCCAAAAGGCATAGTAGAGCGCCGACTGAACAACTCCTGCAAAGGCTGCGCTTGGAATGGTGAGAGGAAAATGGCAGCTCAAGTCCGTCAGATCCTGCGAAATTTCCGGAAGAGTCCATAGAGCACAGTCTGCATTGCACCTGCAGGTCCAAACCGAACGCGTGGAAAAAACTGAAGCAAAACCACACAAACCACAAGACAACTGTGCCTGATTGACGCACTGGACGCCTGAGCTGCCAGAGCCCGGAGCCGGACCAGCCAGTATTCGTATTAGACTTTTGAGATGCTAAGGCTGACACCCCACTAAGCGGTAAGGCGGCCAAAGTGGCCTCCCCACCCTCCCCCCCACGGCAGGGATGAGGGATGGGGCATGGCAGCGTCTGACCGGAGAGCCACTTGGCTGCGGAGATCTCTTGCCGCAAAAGCACCGCTGGAGACTCGTAGACAGAGCAACAGACTTTCGGATTTTTAGGATGCATTTTCCTCTCCCATGCAAATGCTGCACTGTCCATAAGGCAAGGTCCCATGGCCTCCTACGAGTAAGTTCTTCGCGTCGCACCTTTGTGTCTTGGTGTGCCCTCAGGCTCTTGAAACCAGGCCAGAATCAGAAACCATGCTAGGCAAGCCGAGAAGTTCTTGCAGTCGCCGCCAGTTCCCTACAAAGACAGTTGTCGCCAGGCGTTGCCGGAACATCACCCGAAGCCATTCCCTCCTTCAGCTCAGCCTGCCTCAACAACCTCACCTGCTGCCAAAGGTTGCCAGGGTCACGCAAGCTCAATACCACAGAGCTTCACAGCAGCTCCATGCGCAAACTCGCGAACCAGCTGGTGACCAATGCCTCAGAAGCTAGACACGGCTGGACAATCAAGTAATAATGGAAGCCTGTGAGTCCGCACAGCAACCCCTGGTGCTCAACTCGCATGTTCATCCAATCTGGACCTTATGCTGATCTCTCTCTAAGAGGCACGTAAGCCATCGAACACGGCTGCCTGGTCATCCAAGAACCTCGGATGATGGCAGAAGTCCAAGCAAGGTGCACCCATCATGGCCCCCGACAAGAGCTGCTGCACCGAGGGGCCAGTGCACCAGTGCAATCACTGCAGGCCCAGCGCCCGCAACGAAGCGGCGCATGTAGTCCAGGCCGCCGTGTACTAGCAGCCAGCCCTCCCACGTACCCTTCGCGCGTGCCTCGACTCTGTGCGCAAAGCGCACCTTTGCAAGCTGCAGGCCACTCAGTGCGTACGCCCCATCCAGCAAAGTCAAGACAATGATCCGCACAAGCCACCCCAGCGCAGATGCGAAGGGCATGGTGATGACCAGCAGCGCCAGCACGAGGACTGCATGCGCTAACGAACTCCACACCAGGAACAAAATCGAACTGTTGAGCTGCTCCCATACGAACTCGGGAGACAAATCAAATCTGGACAGTGCCTGGCACGCTTGAAACACGGAAAACAAATCCACACACATTCAAAGAGCACACAGGAGCGTTCAGAACACCCTCAGACCGACAAGTATTGGCTCCTCTATCCCAAGTGTGCCTCATCAAATTGCTCCAAATGGCTGAGGATCTCGCTTTTGTTTTCCCACCACTTCTCCCGTCCAATGGTTCCAAGCAGGGTGGCAAGGCCAAGGCACATGATCATGGCACGCTCGGGGAAACACCAAGACCACACACTTCTATTTCTCACCTCCAAGTAAGACCCCCTTGAGACTAACAGGGAAAGCCCTCGGAGACCAGACATTTGGCTTAACATCTGGCATCATGGGCCTTGGGCTGTGCAGTGAGTATGGTATGACGGGTCAGATCAGCATTTGGGAGGCATTCCTCTTCGGGTTTCGGAACGTAAATAAGCCACTGCCATCACTAGTCGACTTTGTCGACGAACGTTCCCGCTCGTCAGGATCAGTTCCGGTCAGGTTCTGATTTCATCTCCAGCTACAGATGCACAATATCGAAGACCCATACTTGACCAAAATTCTGCAAATGTTGTTTGCACTTCCTGCTCATACTTACTTGGAATTTCAGGCAATCAGCCCCTCCGCTCTGATTATCCCTCTGCTAGTCAATGCGGCAGGCAGAGCTGCTCAGTTCCATTCTGTCTAGCTATTGACTCCATCTGCTAGCCTGGGATCCATCGCTACATGCCAGCTACAGTGCTCACGAGGCCTGGGATCCTCCGTTCAAAGGCCTCCTCTTAAAAAAATCCAGAAATCTTGCATGACCTACGGCTGACGATGGCAAACTTTGATTGCGTGGTTGCTTGCTTCGGCTGCTGTCTGTACGCAGCCTGGTCTCCGTCGGCACTCATATCAAAAGCCAACAAGAAAAATCACAAACCCTTAATCGAACCTGCTACACCACAATCCAGATTCAACTTGTGAACATTTCAAGTGGCATGCTGGCTTTTTGGCCGTATGTATGAACTCACATGTAACCGGATCAGAACATGACTCCAGAAACTGCAAAAGTTGGTGGTGTCACAGGAGATACTGTTTGGAAAGTCAATTCACAACTCCGTAGATGTTGCTGCCGCCGCGACAAGGTAGCTATAGACTCCAGCGCTTTAGTATATAGATTGTTGTACGCTACGGCGTGCTGCGCCAAAAAGAACTGCTAACTGCCACCAATACTGAAACATGTCATAATCACTTTTGCATCACACAGTTGGGCAAACGGCACCTTCACATCCTGAACCCATCCTCATATGAATCAGAGTCCAGCCAAAGTCCAGGAACGTATCGAGTGCGGCGCCACAAGCGTCGCCAAGGAATGCAACGTAAAAGGGATGCCCCAGTGATCTCCTCCACATGTCTCAGGCGGCCGAGCAGCAGCCGTAGAGCTTCTGCAAAGAGCTGAGCATCCACGGCTGTAAAGGCATCTATGCGTGCCAGCATGTCTGGCTGCAGGTGATCTGGAGACAGCGCTTTATTGCCATGAGTGTACTTGGGCAGCTTCAGTGAGCTAGAAGAGCAATCACAGGAGGCCGGCAGGCTGCCGTTGGCCTGGAAGTGCAGCAAACATATGCTGTGCTCGAACAGATCTGTGAGCCCAACCCACTCAAAGCGCTGGAGCGTTGCCAAGGCAGCGTCCAGAGAAGGCACCGACTCATTCAAGCTCAGGTCTCTGAAGTGTTGGCCTAGGCTGCCCTGTGATGAGCTGCAGGTCAAGGCATGCGCCTGCCAGTTTAAGAAATAAGGTATGACCTGGACCTGTCCGGTGCGGTTTGGACGGCTTGGATACTCCAGTTGGCTGCGCAAATCCTCAAGAAGGTCTGGCTCAAAGCTGCAGTGGCTGTCGCAGGCCGCCTCTGTCAGCCGAAGAATGCCCTCGGCCACATATTGTGGGAAGTCTCCCAGGATCCTCTGCCAGGTGTTGTGGTGGGCTGCGTGGCAGTGCGATAGCAGTGATAGGACATGAGCTCGGGGAGAACGGAGAATAGTGCCCCTGAACCCTGAGTGGGCTGCTTCGAGCACATCGTCAGCACAGCATTCGCAATTCGCGGCGCACAGGGCCAGGCTGACAGCTCGCGACGCAGCCACGCAGCTTTGGGGTGCTGTCGTCTTGGGCCACGCTTGTGCCAGCGACGCAGCGCGACACGGAGCGTAGCTGAGGTGCGGTGTTGGTTGCTTGGCCAAGTGCAGCTCGAGCGACTCACCGCCAGTCTTGAGCACATGGGCAAAGTGCAAAGGCACCGAGCCGTTAAAGATGCGCACAGATTGTGCTTGGGGCAGGGATCGTGGCAAGGAGGCCATCTCCTGAAGCACGGGCATTGCATCCAGCTTTAAACGGTAGAGCCAGGCCGAGATTAGATCCGACCAGTCGGGCCCTGTTCCAGTCAAGGGGTTCAGATACACTCTCTCGCAATAGGTGAGGTAACCGCCAGATTCCACGTGGCTGTCTTCCACCACTGAACAGCCCGAAACGGCTTGCCCAAGTTGCTCACAAATGTCGGGATTCCTCGTGAAAGCCCAAGTGACAAACTGGTCCTTTGGGAAGTCAAAGGATGTGACCTCGGGCAGCATATGCCAAAAGCATCACGCAAGACAGAAAGAATCCTGGCGGAGTTCATTTCTGCGGTAGGGAATCCGTTACCGTGCTGGGATTCACAGCTCAGCCTCGTCTTGGCACAGCAGGATTCCAATCCCTACTTTCCAACCACCACTTTCCTACCCAACCTTCAAACGGCACTTCCTGTCCATGCTTTCCCGCCGCATCTGTCGAATCCTGGTTTTGCGATTCCTAACATCTTGATGTCCAGGCTCCACAACATGCACCACAAAGAACCTGGCTCAGGTCTTCCGCTAGATCCCCTTGCTCTCATGCACTACGCAGGCGAAGGGCCAGATACCCAACTGAACCATCCGCAACAGAAAAGGAGCTAAGGTCGCCACTCCAAGGCTGGTGGCGCGGATGCTCATGTGCGTCTTACTGAGGGTTGCTGCCTTGCTCTTCAGCACAGCAACGCTGCCATATATGGACGCGTTCAGCAGCCGGTGGTTCACCATGCTTACCAGATGCAATTCGTCCCCTGGCATGCTAGGACCGCTAGGAACTCGTGAAGCAACTCCACTCGCTTCAATAAAAAGACACTCCATCAGAATTCAAAACGTAGACCAGGAAAGCCAAAAAGGCAAAGCCCCCCACAACAGCACATTGACAAAAGCTAATGTAGTTAGCAGGTAGGGCAGCATCTCCTGACATGTTCAGCATGTCGATCACGTCGCTGTGCTCAAGGATGTTTGGTCCAAAATATGCGGCATCTGGGCAGTCACCAAGGCACTGGGTTCCCTGCTGCCTCAGCCAACGGGAAACAAGTGCATTCACGCAAGCGAGAGTCTCTCGAAAAGCATTCCACCAACCCTACAGTTGGCGGCAAGGAGTGTTCGCATGCTCTCTGGCTTACCAACGCCGTGTTAAACCAAGGCAAGACTCCCTGAAGAGCACTGAAAACCATACTCTTATTGGTGTGCGATTGTGAAACCCAGCAAGTTCGACCTGCTGGCCCACAGACCACCAAAGACCTCAAACGACCAATTGGAGCCGGTGCCTGGACAACCCTTGCCCTGTCTTTTTTCGTATGTTTGGATGCTTCCCGTGGAAGGAGTCTAGTGAACAAGAAACATCACGGTTGGTTATTGCGGTGGATAGTGCCGCGACCTTCACTCAACATTGTTTCATGGCCACCCTTATCTACGCAGTGATCCTTGACAGGGCCCAGGAAGGAAAGTGATAATCCCATGAACCCCAAGATTAACCCGAAGAATGCTTGAGCAAAGCTTCAAGCACTGCTGACCCTGGATCATTAGCGGTGCCAAGCGGATCGGTTGAAGCGGCGGCAGCGCCCGCGCCAAGGCCACACCAACCTTCTTCAGCACCTTCCAGAAGCTCTGCTTACAGTGTGCAGTCCGCCTTCCTTTCACAAAAAGCTATTCTTCACTTTGGGAGCTTTGGGCCTTCAGATTGTGGGCCTCAAAGTCTGCCTGGAGGATCGTCTCTCGAACATTCTTCATGTGATGTCGCTCCTTGTACGCCGGGGTGGGCAAAGGGAAAGACTCGCCATGCGAGGCCTTGATGTAGTACACAGGGTGGTGCGAATGAAGATACGCATCTCCCTCGCTCTGATTTGCGAAGCGAAAGAGGCGCAGCACAGTTTCAAAGTGTGTCCAGTCGTCAAAAAGGCCTTGGATTCAAAACATCCCACAGTGCCTGGAGGGAGCCGAGCGGGCCACAATGCCATAATGCTTTCAAGTGTCCACCGATGTCCGAGGGCACCACAGCCAGGTTGATGGCGTTGGTGGGCACTCCTAAAAAAAGTTCCCACAAGTAGCAAGCTTCTCGGCATCACAGGTAGCACTTTAAAACTGTGTACCATTGTTGCACCGCTTCTGAGTCTTCTGAGTCAATCTCTATGCCCGCAAGCTGCGAGCTAAACGGTCTAAAACTCATCCCAAGTCGTTGGCAAAAAAGGGGTAGGAAAAGCAGTGAGAACAGTAGAGCTCGCAAACTGCTCGCAAAACGCAGGAAGGAAAGGGAGACCATGGCTGGATGTAAAACAATGGCCCAAAGCCTAAAAAGTATAGGAAAATAATCCAGGACAATGCAGCCTGAAATGTTGTTATTGACTTGACATTTCTCGGGGCTCCGCTGCTCACCAGCGCTGACTGCACCAGCTTCCAGGTCTTTTGGTTTGCCGTGACCACGTGCGCAAAGAGGCCCTCTGCAGTCTCGCGGATGTTCAAGTTGTTGACCTACACGCAAATTCGCTCTCCCTTGCGCGTCTTGCACACAGCCCCCGCGAGCCCTGCGACACAGGCACAGTTGAGAGTGCTCGCATATGAAGCAAGGCACGCCGATGTGTTAGTTCAAGATCTAGTCCCATCAAAATTCAGCCTCATGCTGAAAGCTACTGCACCCGCTCTTGATCGAGCACATGGGCTGTTCAAGGCCTGTCCAAGTTGCGAATGCTATCGTGTACGCTTGTGCAAACTATTGCAAGCTTACAAACCTGCTTCGTCTGAGGCACGCTGTCCCCAAGACTGCTGAACTGCAGCCCACGCCGTGGAATCCACAGCGCGAAGGTTGTGAAGGAGAAGTACTCAACTTCCGGAGGCCGCCGAGCGATCAGAACGACAGCATCCTCGTGCCTGAGAGTTAACTCGCTTTCTATTGATGTGCCGAAGTCATAATAACAAATCGACACGTCTCACTGAAGATGAGTTTGTTCTGTGCCTCAGGTTCCACATGGGACTTGGAAGCAGGAAGCCGAAAGCCGGCAGCGCGTTCCACATATACGGTGTGTTTGGGTTGCTGCCAAATTTGTCAGTGAAGAGCGACCAGAAGAAAGTGTCACGATCCCGAACCAGCTGCCCCTCGCACGAGATGCTTAGATTCCTTGATGTGGCCATCTCATCCCGGAAGCGCCTGCTGATTTCAGACACTTCCGGATCAGCAGGGCTCGGCGTCCGCGGAAACAGAACACCTGGGAATGAACTGCCAACCGCTCAGCACACAGCCCATGCTTTATTCTAATGACTGCACTGTGACCTGAACCCTTTCTTTGGCTGACTTGCCCAGCCTCCATACAAAGAAGCAGCAAAAGCAGCTAAAATGGCCCCTGCCGTGCTTGTCTTCATGGCGTCAAGCGAGCAAGATCGCTACAACCTGAACAGACCTTTGGATGTCAGGCCATGCTTCAAGCCAAGCTGGCCCAGTACATGACGGTAAGAACAGCTGAAAGTTGGAAACATGCTATTCTCGATGTACAGGGTCTAGACTGTAAACTGCGCACAGGGATGCTCTGCAATGCTTGCACCCACGGTCAGTACCTTCAATACATGTCAGTATGTTCTGCGCCTTCAGAAGCTCTTGGAGACTGCGCCGCTCACGAGGCTGGCCCAGGCCCACCGTCTTCACGCTGCGCCGGAACGGTGCCTCCCAGTCCCATGTCGTTCAGTACAGATGATCACATGGGCGTGATTTGGCACATGCACGAAGCACCTCATGGGCGCGGAAGAGACCCGTACCCTCCGCGTTAGGAAGCTCCAGCCTGTTCTGAACCTGCATCTGTCGATATCTGCCATCTTCAGACACTCCTTAAGAATCCAGTCCAAACGTGAACATCTGAGAGCAGGACAGGCTTCCATGAGCCCTTCTGCTCTGGAGTATCTGAATCTCGGCGAGCCTGCTGAGCCTTCCGTTAGTTCTTTGACTTGCTTCCTCTGGCCAGGCGTTTATCTCATGTACAACAGACTGCTTGCAACGTCGGTCTCAGGCATGCACCCTCTGCTCGAAGATGTCCTATTGAAGCCACGTCCGAGGTAGAACGTACAGGCTTGCAACATGATGGCATGCAAGCCACGGCAATTCTGCCCTCGCCTTGAGTTCATTCGCAGTGCCTGCTGAAACCTCGGAGAACTCTGCAGATGACCTGAGCTCACCGTGTAGAGAAGCTCCGTCGCTCGATCGGAACGGCTTCCATTGTGAAAGCCTCGCGGCAGCTTCAGCCGGCGCCTGGAAAGCTGGCCTCACATCAAACATGATGTGCCAATCCATGCCCCAAAGATCGCTGAGGCCAGAGATCTGGACGCAGAATGCCGATGCTGCCGCATGCCTGAACAAGGTGAATGGGTTGGCTGAACAAGTGGCCTCCTGCGCAAGCCAAAGCACCTCTTTCTTGAGATGACGCTCGTCTCTGCTCGGCAGTCTTGGACGACGGCCCAGCCTGCACATATCGTCACTTCGTCACTTATCACGTTGTGACATGCAAGGAGCAAGCCTTCTGCTCAAATCGGTCCTAGGAGAAGGATGCAGCATCCATCAGCAAGCGTCAGGCTTCTAGAGTTTTGAAACTGGACCCCTGTAGCGTGAATAGCATTTGAACTCGAATGCTTTGGAGCTCGTAGTGACGTGCCACGGCTTGGAGTTCAAGACTGACAAATAGTTCGTCCTTGAGCTCGGAAGCTGTTCCAGCAGAAGTGGTCAAGATCTCGCTCTGTGGCCTGGCGAAAGGAGGCATTGCAGTTCGCACATCTCAAATCCCAATCAACCTCCCAACTAGATTCAGAGACCCGGACGCTGGGGTCTCAGCGAAGAGGCTGGGCGGCTCAGGCATTCTGCCTGAATCTCTGGATCTACGCATCTACGAGGCCGACTTGGAAGCTCAATAACCCCCACAGCCTGAAGGGGCCACCGTGGACGACGAAGAGACCTGCAAGTCCATCTACCAGAAAACCTTGCCAGCTTTAACGAAATTCTTTGCTGAAGACTTTGGGCAGGGTTGTTCGCAGGTTTGCGTGTTCGGAGCTGGCTGTTCTCCGGGCAGGCAGCTGGGTGGACTTTGCTGATCGGCGCCACATCTTCTACAGCCTCCACCGCTTCCACTGCCTGCCCAACAACAGATATGCTTCGCGTGTCTGGATCTTTTCGGGGATGCTCAACTAAGAAGATGATGCCCATGTGGGTCCTCTGTCAGGGGCCCTAGCATTGTCCGAGCTGTATTCTGTTGGGGGGCACGCGGCACACATGGCGAAGAAGGGCCTGAAAAAGCGCGGATACGGCGGGAGCCTTGCAGAGCGACAGTAACTAAATCATCATTGCTGAAACATTCGCTGCTGCTGAGGGCAAGCCCCTTCCGATCTAACACAAATTTCTATTGACTGGAACACCATGGCTTCTTGAACCTGCAAAAGCATACAGGTTAGCTTCCTCAGGCCTTCTGCTGCAAGCGCTCCTCCAGCAAGTCTCTTGCAAATGAGAGGCATCGTCAAGATTAGCCATGCAGCTGCTTCGTTGGGATAGTTGTCAGGGCCTTGACTTGTAACAAAATAGAGTTGGAGCATGTTCCGGTGAGACACTTTCTCACGCCTACACTAGAACGAGCAAGAATCCAACTGCAGAAAGTCAGGGAAACTACTATTTGCATGGACTCCAAGAAAGCAGGCAAATTCCTTTCGTGTTGAAAATGCACCTGCATGAAACATGAGAAGCTGGCGCATGTGCTGTAACCGTGCTGAAGAGCAACAAGGATCGCGCACCAAATGCAATCTGCAGGGCGTGCTTGCAGCTACAAGTACAACAGATTGGAGATGATTGGAGACCCAAAGAAGTCCCGGGGAGCGCATCTGGCCTTCCCAAGAAGTCACATTTAGGCCAGAGGCCTGCAGTTGCTCACGGGGCGCCGCCCGTAACGGCGATCCAGCCGCTGCCAGAAAACCCTCCGAAAACGGGCCCCCAAATCCCAGGCCTCCCAAACCAAGCCATTTTTGTCCAACCCGCGGCCATTGTAACCCGAAGCCTCTCTCTCTCAGACACCCTCGGGTCCTTGGGCTCCTCCGAGGCGTCTCCACAATCTTCCCTGAGGTCAACATGGGGAGCTCTTATTGGGCGAGAAAAAGGCAATCTGCAAATTCGAGCTTAAAGGAGTGAAGGAGGCAGCGGGCATCGCAAGCGGGCTTGGTGGCTCTTTTCTGGGTCTATAGCACAGATGACGCTCATGCTCAAAGAGTGGCATTTGCTCCCAAGTTCACAGAGGCAATGACGGCTGGGCTGCTTGAAAGAGCTTCGCTTGCGCGCGGGGAATCGTGCCTGTCGGGATGCTTTGCTCGGCGAAGAAAGCTTGCACTGATCCCGCAGCCTGCGCCTCTGACTGGTCGCGCGTAGCCAGCTGGCTTGGGAGCCTTCGAGGAGACCTTGCGCGCAAGTTTGCAGCTCAGCCATCGCAAGATCAAGGTGACTCTGCCCAAATCTTCCTCAATGTCAAATCCACGGCATGCATGTGTCTATGCCCCCAAACTCTGCGTTTACCGCTGTGCAAGAAGCATAGTTGGATATGATCTGCACAGAATGGCTCAGCTCTGCGCACTGTTCAAGTCCCCACTTTCTGCTTCTGGATGTACCTCAGGTCGCCATTACCGTATCTCCGCTCCGCGCTCTGAACCCTCACTCATGCGCACGCACAGTCATTCAGTGATGGCGACATGCATCAAGTGCAAGAACCCTTGAAAACCTGCCTGAAATAGAGCCCTGGCCGGCGTTGGCGTCTCAGCTGCTGCCTCGATGCCACTTGGGCTGTCCACTAGATTGGCCCCGTTTGCTGAGGCGCGCACGAACGCCTGCTCGCGCTGCTTCAGGCTCTCTTCACGTTCCTTTTGCGATCGTCACAGCTTCCCTGCTCGCAGCCGAAGCCCGAAGCTAAGTTACGCCAAGCTGCCACCAAACAGCGCTCTCGACGATCCAGCTCAGCCACTCGATCCGCCAGCTCGGCCTCTGAGGCCAAGCTGAGTCCAACTCAATCGCCAGCCGCACCAGCTGCAGATCAACCGTCTTTGCCTGGATGATGGACCTGATCTGGTCAGCCAGGCCGTCGGCTGCACCCGGAGCCTGGAACCATGACATGAAGGACCCCCAACACCCCAAAACCAAGCACAACAGCAGTGATGCAGCCTGCATCATCAGAGCTGCAGCTTGGGCCTTGGGCCCACTCACAACTTGAGCCGGGACGGCTGCATCGCCTGCGTCGCGTGTCTCTGGTCTCGTTGAGGCAAGGACTATCCCTCTCGGTAGAACATTCTGAGCGCAATGCAGGGCCATGCAGGGCTACAACAGCATCAGCAAGCATCAGCGCACGCTTTTTGAGGGACTCTGAGACTGGCAATGGGCACTCACACCGCCATTGACACACCCTCCTGATGATGCACCTTGGCAGCCATGAACACGTGACAGGCCGCAGTGACTGGGCCGTCAGGATGAGAGGTCTGCAACAGGTCTGATTGGGTCCCCACCATTTTGTGCGGCGTCTGGTGCGCTTCTGCTGCTGCATGTACTGCTGTCTTCGAATCTCGAAGAGTGCTCTTTGGCACTGCATGCGGATGATTAAGACCAGCAGGATGTAGCAGCTGAGGTTGCGCATCATGGAAATGAGCTGCGTGCACGTGATGAGCTGCGAGCGCCGAGCCTGGCGCTTGCTGCGGGTAGCTTGTCGGGGTTGAATGCGCCTGGTGTGCCTGGTGAGCAGTTGCCGCTTGGTGTGAGCTCGCTGGCTGCGCTCGTGGCACATGTGCTGCATGGCATGGGTGATCTGAATGAGCTGCACGCGCTGTGTGAGCTGAATGTGTTGGATGCACTGGATGTGCTGGATGTGCTGCATGTGCTGAGTGTGTTGGGTGTGCTGCAGCCGGTCGGTCCGCATCCATGCTGGCGGCAAGCCGTGCACCTGTCTAGGATGCAGGGCGCCCCTTCACTTGCTCTCATCAGCTGACACACTGGATGCAAGCGAGATCAAGTGAGGCTTTAGGCCTTCATGGTGCCTCTTCATCAGCCCATGCTGTCGCAGAAAATCCTGATGCCCACCACAAACCGCAACTTGCTAACTTTTCTAGCTCTTCGCGTTGGCTTGATGCCGCTTGGGCTTGAGCAGCCATGGGGATGAGGCCCGACTTGGCTCGGACACATAGCTGGCCCTAAGGCAACAACTTGAGCAAATCGTGCTCGTGAGTCCCAGCTTGCCGCTTGCCCTCTCAGTCCAGAGCCGCATGCGTCAGCTCAAGGGAGACCGTGTGTTCAGCCACATGGTGGGCGGAGGAACCTTGGGCTCAAGGTCTTCGCAGCTCAGCTCTTTGCCCCAAAAAGACTCAGCTGCATGCTCACACGGACGATGGGTGGAACCAGCTCCTGAGTGCATCTGCAAAACTCATGCCTGTGTCACGATCGGCAGCTCTGGCTCAGTGCTCATTTTCACTGGGCGCCCGACACCTTGGTGCCTCATTTTCTGAATGAAGCTCTCAACTGCATCATCCACAGCCGTCTTGGCGACATGTGGCCCATGGTCTCGCATGGCTTTGGCCGCATCCCTGCCAACACCCAGGCTGGCATTCGCATGCTGCGTGTGGCAGTAAAAAAAAAAGCTGACAAGCTTTTGAGATGCATTTCGCCCCTTGCATTTTGGTCGCCGAGTGTGCTTCGAAAGCTCAGGCAGTTCTCACATGTCAACATTCCTGCTAGCAAAGTTCTACCGTTGCCGCTACCGTGGCCATGCTGTCCAGCTTTGGGTTTCCAGCTGCATGCCACGAAAGCCTCCAAGCAGTACTGCAACGAAGACATCGTCCAGCCCCGAGCATCGCTGAAAACAAGTGCGAGTTGAACCTGCCGTCACAATGCTTTGCTGCGCGGAACTCTTTCGGGCCAGCTCAGCTCCAAGATGCCGCGGTCGCTGAAGGTAAACAGCTCATCATAACACGGTCAAATTGATGCAAAGGCATGGAGGAGAACAGTTTTCACCGGGAACGAGCTCCAGAAGCCACTCCTGCAGGGCAAGGAGCTGAGAGGAGCTGTGCATACCCTACTTTTGGGAAGTTCTTTGTGGTGCGCTCGTCTCCTGCCCTCTCGGGGAAGGGCCAAGACGTCATACCAGCAAGCCAACTGAGGATAGCTCCAGCAGACTTCGAAGCTGTCGTGCCACCACAAGCCACTCAGAGGCACCAGGGATCGGCTGCCCAAGAGAAAGCTTTCCTGCAACATGTTCCAGCAAGAATGCTTGCAATCGATGTGCATGTAGGCTTCTTGGGATCCGATGTGCATCCAAGTCGCATAACCAAATGTCTCAAGCCAATGCACCATGCTTTGCAGGGTTGGTTTGGCCAAGTTGCGCACGCTCTTCGCGCGCACAAGAGCTGTCAAACTTGAGGTCTGAAGCACTTGCGCAGCCTCCTTGTGCACCCGAAAGAAATCCTCATTCATCTGACCCGCAAGTTCAAAAACGATGGCGGCTACTGCCCCCATTTCGAGGAGGTTTCTGGCACCCTGCAGCACTTCCAGGTCATGTCCCTCGGTGTCGATCTTGAGAAGAAGACTTGGACCCAGCCCTGCTTGCTGGGCGAATTGGTCCAGGCGCTGGGTCACCACCGATCCTTCCACGTCTACATGATAGTCTGGGCTGCGTGTGTTTTCCGGGATATGATGCGAGAGCGACGCCTGATTGGCAGATCCCCGCAGGCGGGCTTCGCGACTGACGTTGGAAAGGGCCACTTGCTGCCAGTTAATACACCTCAGTCAAAAGCACAAGCGGTTCTCTCAATACGTGCTGTCTTGCACCGTTTGAGAGCGTTTGATCCCCACCTTCGCGCAGCATGGCGGCCCAGACCAAGGTCCCGCCGCAGCCGTTGCTCCTCTCTGCGACGCGTCCGCTGCAGCTCATGTTGCAATGGCTCGAAAGCATGGATCTGCAGCTCAGGTGAACATCGCAGGAGCACTGCCAAGTCTGCGGCATGGCAGCGGTCTGGCCCTTCATAGCTTGCAGCTCCAACGTCGAGCACTGCCAAGGGGCGAGCCCCTGCCCGCCACACGTGGCGGGCGAGGACTGCCAAGGCGTTAAGAAGCTTTGCCATGCCCTGCTCCTGGCCAGAGCCACCCCAGAACTCCACAGCCAGTGATCTTCGCAAGTATTCAATGTGGCGGCCTCGGCGACTCATGGCCACTTGCCGCAAGGTTGGCAGGAAGGAGCGTCCCCAACCTGCTTGGCACAAGGGAGCCCTGGCCAGCTGCAACAAAGACGGCCACTGCATGGACTCATTGGTTCCCAAACTCAAACGACCGCAGCGCAGTTGCCCTGCCATCAAAGAATCCGCTAAAGCAAAATGCCATTGATGACATGCTTCTCAAAAGCATGCATTTGCCAGAGTTTGGTAACCAGGCATTGATAACATTGTGGCTTGGAGCCAAGACTCGCCCTCAAGTCCAAACCACAAAGCCGCTCCAGCACAATTTCCCCGCGATGCTCCACAATGCTCCGCACCCTTCTCGCATTTTTGTCCGCTAGCTGCTAGCCTCTCCTTTTTGGGAGCAAAGAACCTCTCGCAGTGCTTAGAGCTCAGTTCTGCTGCCACTCTCGACGGTGTCCTGGATTCTGAATGAAGTGCTGCAACGACCTGGCTGCCCACGCAAGAAGAGGTCTTCAGGAAGGCTGCCCACGGCATCCGCACGCATCGCATCTCCTGCGAGCAGCAACTGACATGCTCTCTGCAAATGCTTCCAGTCACTAGAAGCACCTAGCGAACGTGCGCCTCCTCACAGACTGCTTGGTCATTTTGGCCATTGTTGCACCAAAGTCCATCCCGTGTCAAAGTCCCAAACTCTGGCTCAAACATGTGAACGGCGCGGTCCTAGGCTGGAAGTGGATGGCTAACTAGCATGCACCAACGGTTGCTACAGCAACCAAAAGCATGGCGTGCTTCCTCCAGATTCGTGCTCCAGTGCAGAAAGAGATCCCCAAACCCTCGTACCAAGGCTCAGCAGCATCCGCAACCGGCATCGCCGGAGCAGAAGAAGCTCAGAAAGCGGCACCAGGAGCATCCGTCCTGTCACCACAGGCGACAATTGCATACTGTGGGTGGGATCAGGGTCCATGGCTGGAATGTGCTGGCACCTCGTTCATCGCCGCCCTCACGCTGCGCACCTTCAGCTTCAGAGACTTGCGTCGATGCCTCTGCTCCTCCTTCGCCTGCCCGGAGCTGGGAAACAGGAAGCACGCCGGAAAACCCCCTGAAGAGTCGGCCTTAAACTCATCGATTCTTTCTTGCAGTTCCTTTATCTTTGCCCCCAGCACAAAACGCTCGTGCTGCTCCGGGTGCGGGACCTTCTGCTTCAGACACACACGAAGAAAACTCTGCAGAAAACATGAGTCAATGAGCCCCCGAGCTGGCTTTTCTCTGGCCCAGCGGCTTGAAACTCCCAGGGCGCAAAGTCTACCGTCATGTTTGGGGCCGCCATGATGTTGGCTTCAGGGGATCCTTCGGTTGAAAACTTCTTGGGCCGATAAGCCAAGCGGGGATATCTTCATCGCCGTTTCTTCCTTGCATCTCCGAAACTCATGGTGCCCAAAAAACAGCCAAGTTCTAAACCAGAATGCAGGCCCCAAGGCAATTGCACAAACCCAGGCCTCACACAGGCAGTGAGTGCGGCCAGTTGCTCTTGCCACTGTCGTGCATTGGCCTGCTGTTTTTGATGGAAAGTAAAGCCACTCTTCCTGGTGACAGCGAATGCCTCCACCTCCTCGTAAGTCTTTGCCTGCCTAAGATGCTCTGTGCAATGCTGAGCAATTCTGAGGCTGTAGGTTTGAAGCTAAAACTCCTCGTCTCGCTCATCTCACTGCCTTTCAAACTTGGCATCGGGCGCTGACAGCGAGGACCTGCGCCCCATCTCCTCCTGGAGCCTGGCCTGGCGCAAACAGGTCCGCCTGCAACAAATTGCGGAAGCGCACCTAAGCGCCTCAGCAATGAGAAAGCTCAACTTCTTCTAACTATGTTGCTTGTTGTGCACCGCTCAAGGCTTCCCAGCTCTCAGGAGGAAATCCCAACAGGTTCATTGAAGCAGGAAGCCCAGAGGCAATGTTCCTCCAGGATGCGCTGCTCTTCCATCTGGCCGCGCTTCAGCTCATCCGCCGTCTGGCCAGGGGGGGTTATAATATAGCATGTGAATCGGGGATGTGAAAAAAGATGCACGAGCGTTTAGGTTACAGATCCAGGAAGTTTGCGGCTAGGATTCAGCGCCACTCTGCCTGCACAAGCCCCGAAACCTTGATGCATGAAGCGCGAAGACCTCAAGAGCCACCGAAGCATTCCTTTGTTCCCGTGGCCTCGTGTCCCAGCCGGGCTGCAGCGACGCAAAGCCTCTCCTGCAGGTTTAAAGTTCAAGGCTTTTGCTTGCAAAGCCACTCTTGTAACTGCTTGGCAGATGAAGGTGGAGAACGAGCAGGGGTCGGAATGCTGGGGTAAGTAAATCTGACAAAGATTCCTCCATCACCAGTGCTTTCAGGAGCTCTTTTCGTCGCTCAATCTCCTCAGCCTGCAGGGTGAAAATCAGAACAGGGCCCACCTTTGACCGGAACGCGTTCGCAATCGCAGCAAAGTTGCGTGGTACTTGGATTTCTCGTCCATGCGGCTCAGGTAGCTCTGGAGAGTCAAGATCTCCTCAGCAACCCCGCAGTCTGGGGTACTTGCAATGCTAACACAATCCAGCACACATGACAGAACCCAACAGCCCTTGGAATGCGTTCGCTTCTTTCTTCTGACGGCTGAAGCATGTCTTTGTGTGTCGGCCGCAAGAGCTTCGGTCGAGACGGCTAATTCTATGTGCCGCAAATGAAACCAGTCGCAATCCGTACAACACAAATATCACAACAACATGCTGCATATTCAGATATCTAGTGTTCCGAGCCGGCGCTGGGCACAAGCGGCACACATGCTTGCCTGTACATGGTAGAGCCTCAATTGACGGAAAATGCGAGGCCCTCTTTTTGCTAATTATCAAGCTCTTTGCATTCTACGTCTGCGCCTCGAAAGGCGGATAGGAAAGTCAGCCAGGCAAACCCGATGCCTGCAATCCAGGGTACTCGCCAGTGGACAGGAACCACCGTGAAGGTCAAGCAGTGTGCTGGCAGCCTTGCATTTGCAGTCTTCAGCTTGTGTACGATTTGGTCTCATAGAAAATCTAAACTTAAATGCATACGAAACTTGTAAGAAGGAAGCGCATTGCCTTGCGGTAGAAAGACGACCCTGCAAATATGGGGCAATCCTCGCTGCGCAAATGCACGTACAAGCATTCATGAAGCCCGCACACGCATATCGCAAAAGTGCTGCTGAACACGTTCAAGTCCACTTTAAGACAAAAGTGATGGTTCTCATCAATAAGTCTGTTGCGTCTTCTTTCTGCCATGTCTGCTTCTCCTGCTTCTTTTCTTCTTCTACTGCTTCTTTGTTTCCCTGTGCGGCTACAGGCATCGTTCACCCTTTCACCTTTAATTTGGAACGGGACCACAGCCATGACGACTTGTTTCTTCCAACGACCAGGTTATACCCTGTGCACTACCTGAAATGCCAATAGGTCGAAGCAGCCAAAAGCTGAAGCCCCGTTGAACATCTGACCAGACGTTGGAGTACCATTGCATGAAGATCCTCTGCGGACTGAAACTTGCAGCCCCCGTGAGGGTCTGCACAAAACCTGAAGCGCAGTAGAAGGTCGGAAAATAAAAGAATGGCAAGTGAAGGACCTGGTCGATTGCTATCTGGAAAGCTGCGCGAGCTGGCTGTTGCAGAGCAAGCGTGGAGACCAGCCAAGGGTAGGCCACAGCATATATTGCATGCTGCGAAAGTCCGCAGTAGAAAAAGCCAAAGCAACTGAAAACCAAGATCCGCTGAGAGTCCAGCTTCTCCTTCCCTTCCAAGATCTTCTGGGCCAGGACATCAGCGGTGACAGCTTTGTAAGTGGAGATCGCGACGCCGAAGGCAAGCGGATGGCGCCTGCAGATAGTGTTTACCCGCTGCACCCATTGCCACATCAAGCTGCTTATAACTCAGACTCTACTGTTTCGTGCAAACTTTTCGGTGTCTTAAGTGTGGCAAACATGGCCATCATCTGGAGCCTATCTGACAGCCTGAAACGGCAGCACATGCACGCGAGATCAAGATGAAAGAGCTCTACAAGCTTTTGCCTGGCTCAGCGAGCTCAAGCTTGCGGGCACTTCACTGCATGATCAAAGCGCAAAACTCCCAGGATTTCAGATTCAAAGGCCTCCAGAACAACTCTACGTCAGCCAAGTTAGGATGGAGCAAGAGACAGGGCCCTGTCAGGGCCCTGACTTAAAAGTTGCCTGCACCCTTCTATGTCAAGCTTTTGCGCATGTGCAGGCTTTACTTTGTGGGTTGCCGATGGCTTCCTCCAACGCAGATTGAAGTATTTCTGCAAACCACTGGCAAGAACACCATCTGATAACCTGAAGGCCAATGTTTCCTTGCGAGCTTTCCCGAAAAAATAGGAATATTACTATTTTCAGTTCTGTGTCATTCCCCAAGTTCACGGTTTGCCCTCGTACGGTTAATCAAGGAATGACGGAAAATCCCAAAAATCCCAGACCCTAAGTCTGCGCATTGTCATGCCGCATCCAATAGGGCCACCGCTTCTCGGAAGACATCGATCTGCCTTTGATGCTCGCGGCGCTCGCGGATCATTACCTGCATGTCTGGCAGGCCCCAACCCCGCGGGCACACAGCACAAATTTGAGGCGGCCTGCAAAGAATTTTGGCGTCTCAAAACCAGCACACATACTTACAACATTCCTGCTGGCTGCTAGCTTCGTGACCTCAGTAGACTACTCAGATCCTGGCAGCATCCTGCTGCTCCTGCTCAACAAGCGCCTGGCCATGTCTCACCCCGATTGCCAGTCTCGAATCCAGGTGTTACCCCCGTCCAGCACCCGCCCCCAAACCCCCTCGGGATGAAGATGCACTCCCGCCTCTACGTTGTGGCGCCAGTGGTCGATGGCCATGTGACGATGCAGCAGGCTGCTGTCCTTCTGCAACTTGGCCACCTGGCCAGGGAATGCAAGGAACCACCCAATTAAGACTGCTCTTAGGATGTCCGGAACCGCCGAATGTGCTGATTTGGAGTTCGCGCCTTGCTGCCTTGGAGCTTCTGCTGATGTTGCATGGCCTGCAGTTCTGTCGCCTGATCAGACCGGGAGCGAGTAAGCTTTGTACATCACCGCGGTCTGTCGTTGGCAGCAACAGCCCCCCAGCCTTTGCCGCAACCTGCTGGGTTCCATGGTGTATGGCCTGCAGACACCACCGAGCTCACCATGGCCACCCTTTGCAGCTCCAGCTTTGCGCAGCTTTGCGCCTCTTGCAGGCCCGACAGTTCGTCATCCTTCTCTGCGAGCTCCCACTGGCGAAGTCACAGTTGCAAAATGTTGCAAGGCAGCAAGGCGCGAATCCTGCGTCTCTTACAGCCTTGGGGCGAGCCTCTGCTGAGGCTAAACGCTTCTTCAGCATGGCTACCTGCCGGGCATGCATCCACACAGCCGGAGCAAGTGCAGCAAGGCCTGCAATTATTTTGCTTACGGTGAGACGTCAAAGCAAGCACCAAGCGTATCCCCGCGGATTAGACCTGCCCCTTGGGAGCAGTGAAAACCTCAAGATTTTAAAGTTAGAATGGGGGTGACGGAAGTCTAACTTCAAAGCCGACGCCGGTACCCCGCAAGTCGCATTATCATCATAGCTTTCAAAAATCCTCTTTGAGGGTTTCGTCAACAAATTGCTGCCTCGCAAAAATTCTAGATTCTAGACGCTAAAACAGCATGGGGTGGATGTAGATCCACATTCCCTCTGAGCGCTCGAGGGAACGACAAGGACAACTACCAGGGCAGGAGCGGGAGCAGCCGCTGAGCCGCTCTCATGGCTTGGATGCCAACCTCACTCGTTTTGGTGAAGCCGGGCAGTCTTCCATCGAGAAGACCTGGCAGACATGGAGCCACCAACCGGTTCCTTTCTGTGCGCTCCGTGCCCAGTGCTGGGCCTTGTCTGCAGAAACCTGCAACCCACCTGCTTCCAGCTTCTATATATATCATCCAGCATCTGCTTGCAGTTATGCAGCAATGCAGTTACTGCTTTATACCCTGCCTTTGGCTTTGGCAAGGCCCGGCGTCAGCGGTTCCTCGGCGGCAGCCACATCCCGCAGTGGCGTCCAGTCCTGGCAAGCAGACCGTATCAGACCAGAAATCAACTGCTGCGTGCATGAACATTATCCTCCTGGCGCCGGCGCAGCAGTGCAGACATGGGCTCCCTAGTTGGATCTCCTCAGAAAAGAGCTCAGGCAGCCCAGCATGATCCCGCTTGCCGCTTGCTCTTCCAATCTCCTTCGTTGAGGGCTGGAGATGATTTAGCCCTGGCAAGTGCCGCTGCGCTTCCTGCGACGGCCTCCTGCACGACAACCTGCGCTGCTTCGTGACAGCACTGTGAGACACTCTGGATCAAAGGCTTCCTGCCTTGGGGGGCTGTGTGTTCAAAGGCGACCTCTTTGGGTTCGTCTCGATGTTAAGTTTCAGGCCACGCCTGCCCGCATGCAAGATGCAAAGTTTGGTCCAGGGGATGCCAATAAAGTCGGCCTCTGTGCTATTGCAGAGTTGGCTCCAAGAGATGAACATGGAGAGATTTCCTCCCCACAGCTCCTATGGATGCTGGAAGCCCAACAGCAATTCGCTGGCCTGACTTGTTGTTGGTGACATTTGGGAAGGTGATGCAAATGCAGACCTGGCAGACTACGGCTGACTAAATTTGCACAGGCTGGTCAAGGTTATAATCATGACAGGCAAGCGAAGACGACACAGCTCGCCCTGCAGACAGCACGTCGCAAAAGGCTTTTGAAGGTGCTTGTCCATGTTTCAAGCAATCCAACGCTTGCCTCGCTGCTGGTCCAACTGCGTTCTTACGCGCTGCAGCTCCTACAGGTCAGAACATTCAGAACATGCCTGAACTGGTGCAAAGTCCAAACCATTCCCTGATTTGGGCTTACTATGGTTTATTAAGTTTACTGATTAGAAAATCTGGAAATTTGGAGGCTATACATAGGATCCCTCCATTCGACTGCCACTCTAACCCATGCGCGCTACCATGCTCTGCCTGGTAGAGCGATTGAACCTCCGCACACTTTTCCTCGAACTTTTGTGCCAGCCACTCCTCTGGAAAGCCAAAGCCGAAGCGCACTGGCAGGCTTTGAGAAGAGTGGCCCAAGCCTTCTCCTTCTTTTCTTTGTCCACTGTTGCCAGGAGCCATTGCAAGCCACCCTAGCAAAAAGCCATGCACTCAAAAATACTCGGGGTAGATCCAGCAGGACGAATCTACATGCGAAGCCTGAAGGTTTTGAAGCCCTCCAGCAGCGCCAGTGGCCTCAGCGGCATGTACATGAGACGAAGCGTGCCCCGAGTTTGAGAGCACTATGAGACGGGCAAGGCAAAAGCCAAGCACTGCTGAAGTCTCTCTGGGCTTCCGCGCATTCGGCGAACTGGTCTCATTGCCCTGGAGACGGGGCGCTGACTATCGATTATCATGATCATGAGTTGCAGTCGCTAGTCAAAGCCTGGTCGATGCTGCTCGTCGACCGGTGCACGGTAGACTCGAAGCCGGTGTGGGCAGTGCTCTGGCAGAAAGTGCAAAACCGCTCAAAACCACTCATGCCGATGTGGCGTTCAAGATCTCCTCATGGGGGCACCTTCTCCCGCGGAAGCGGTGGAACGGGCGGAACCGAGCCGGCCGAACCCATGGCAGAAACCAAGCATGCGTGTCAGATCTCAAATGCTTTGCTTTCTTGAGGCTTGTGCTTGGTCCATTATGCGCAAACTACTTGCTTCGCATGGCAAACTCAAATCTCCGCTGTGGTAATTTGTGGCGAGCATGGAAGCAGCTGCGCTGTACGCTTTTGACATGGCTCGCTTCTTCCCAGTGTCATTTCCAGCACCATTGAACCACGAGACAGCACCAGCCTGTGAGTCGATGTGCTTGGCAGAAGCCTGCAAAACATCAACGCACGACCCTCCAAACAAGCTGTGAAGTCGCTCCCGTGCCACCGCCACTGCCAACGTCACAACAATCACCAGCCGCTGATGACCATAAAAACTATCACAACAATGATGGATGACTTTAACGATGATGACGACGACGATGATGATTATGGTTAGGATTATGATTACAATTATGATGGCGACGACCAATAAACACCGCCTGGCGCATCATCCTATGGCGGTGATGAACAACAAATGAGCGCCTGGTAGTTTCAGACGCATGGAGGCGGCAGTTTCAAGGTTGAAATACGTGGTGAATAAGGCCCCGCACCAGTTGCCTTTGAAAGGAGGTCAACACGCAAATATCAACACCATTGAATGTCAAGGTTCGTCTGTTCGCCACAGGGTGCCTTTTTCTGTGGCACTCAGGACTTAGGACAGGTCTGCTGAGCCAGGGCTATTCTATGTAGTTCCAATCTAGCTGCGAGGCGGCGCAGTTGACACACAGAGTGATATACCCACAGAAAATATTCACCAAGATGGCTTTCGCAGTATGTCGAGGCTCTGCGCCCTCACACCGAACGGTTTTCAAAGCTCGCTCTATCCAAATGGGATTTGAGCCAAATTGGACAAATACCTTCAGCCAAAGGTTGGCGTGCAGAGTTTTATTCTTGGCTGCGCAGCTGTATTTTTAAGAGGCCTTTTCCAGTTTTTTACAAATATTGATGTAAAGAGGGGGTCAGCTGAAGTAGGCATCCCCTTCCATGTGTTGGAGCAGCTCAACAAAGCCTTCGCTTCAGCACGCGCAACAGTCCGTTTGAGCAATTTTGGGCCCTTCCAGGAACCTGTTTTTTCCCGAATGCTCCGCAGAAGGGTTCCCGTTTTGAGGTTGGGGTCCAGGGGTCCAGGAGGCGACCAAATTTGTGTTTGCGCTTGTGTCCGCAAGCGTCCGCAAGCGTTCGCAAGCGTTCGCCTAGTTCGCAAGCTTTCGCAAGCGTTCGCAAGCGTTCGCGGAGTGTCGGGAATGGCTGGGAGTCGAAAATCGTCGCAAAAATCGTCGCGAGACGCAAAGCTGTCATCACTTTTTGGTGCTTGCGCCTCAAAGTCTCAACAGTCACAGGGATCGGGGGGGGTCGTGGTCGCGAAACGCAGAACTGTTGTCACTTTTAGACTCGTCTCGGGTCTTGGCGTCCCAAAAGTGTCAACAGTCACAGGGATCGGGAGGGTCGTGGTCGCGAAACGAAGAACTGTCGTCACTTTGGACTCGCGTTTGGTCCTCGCGTCTCAAAAGCGTCAACAGTCACCGGGATCGGGCGGATCGTAGTCGCGAAACGCAGAAGAGAGAGGAGAGGAGAGAGGAAAGAAGTGAGAGGAGGGGAGAGAAGAGAGGAGAGAAGAGAGGAGAGAAGAGATAGGAGAGAGAAGAGAGGAGAGAGGAGAGAAAAGAGAGAGGAGGAGAAAGAGGAGAAAGGGATGACCTCGGACCTACGTCTCCTAAGTGGTTTCTTC